CCCCCCCACACACACAAAAATTTGTGGTTGGTTTTTTCATGTTTAAGACTGCTATTTGACTGGAAATCATCTTCAGGTTTCACCACTGCTGGATGGTTCTGCACGTCAATGGCTTTGGAACAACACACGGCCTCTTACGAAGCTGTAATTCATGTGTAGATACTGTCAATACTACGCAGTTCCATCCTTGACCATTTGTTGTACATAGGAGATAAATAATTTGATAATTAAGAGTTACAGCTACTCATATACTCTATAGACAGGTAAATGAACTTTGTAGTACAATATAAGGCCCCAGGGCTTTGATCTTAGTGGTAAAAGCGCATGACGTGATGTGTGGGTTAAGCGTACATCACGGATTCGAACAGACAAAAGTTCGGTATTTAAGTGGAGAAGGGTAGAGGTTCTGGCCCATTATCCACCGAGTTTCTAACCATGCGCCACTTGCATTGTGAACTGATTAGCATTATTAAGGATGGTGAAGGACCTCTGTAAATGTACAATATGATTATTCGACTTAAAGGTTTAGCCTTGTGGCTCATCTCAGCTATAATGACTGGCAAGTATATGATATTCCGAACAGTAATCTTAGAAGTTACTATTTGTTACGCCAGAAAGCAGTGAAATCCAGCTTCACTCTCAACTTTAGCTAAAAAAGATTACTATATAACAAACCAGATTGCTGTGACATGGTAAGTTCTTTTCCCCCTTAGACGGTGACATGGTAAATCATCGAATAACCCAGAATTGCCAAACCGACGTGCTTTAAATGTAAATATTAGGTCACATCAAACAGTCCTTTTAGATATAAGAAGTATAGGGTAATACCAATCTGCACTCTTCTGTTTTCAACCCATAATTTAGTGTCCTTTTTACTTTCAGGAGCAGAATTACAACGTAGCGTACAAATGTGCGGTTTTTACACTATTGCTTTTATAATACAACATAAATCAGATTAACACCTTAAATTTCATATTCAGTCAAATATGGCACATAAAATTGGGAGAACTAAATTGAATTTGGATACGGATAGAGAATAATGCACTAGAGTCACATTTAGGTTCCTCTTAATATAAAGCAAAAAAAGGATCCAACTAGGAAGAAGTAAATGCAACTAATCCAACAAGTAAGACTCTTCTCATTGATAACTAGCTTATTACAACACAAAAAAAGGAAGAATATTTGACTAATAATATGAAACAGGAAGAAGAACAACTAGGCCAACGGAGATTCCAAAGAGAAGAAGTAATAAGCCAGTGAAATTAACAATGAGTGCTTCTTGTCCCTTTTGAAGTCCTAAGGCTATGAATTTCTGAATTAAGCCAGTTTCTGCACTTACTATTCCCATGAAGAAGACGGCAATTCCGTATAGAACATGCCATGGAACTAATCTTGCCCTTCTCCAGTTTTGCGCCCCAGGGAAGAAGAATACCAAGAAAGAAACAATATACTGCACAAAATTAAAATTAGATTTTTCTAAATGAATGAATATCAGTGATAGTAGTATTATATTTGAGCCAGTTATTTATTTGTTCTTACCAGCAAGGCGTATAAGCTAACGGTGGAAATGCCAATCCAGGAATGCAAGGTAAGGAGGTTAGATTTTCCAGTATCATGTTGAAACTTGAAAATTGCAAAGAGACCAACAATGCTAGAACCAAGACCAATGAGATGCAGAAACATGTGGAAGTATTTCCTTGTCCTCCTTGTTGCTGGGATTGTGGTAAATGCCATTATAGCTGAAACAAATATTAAAGCACATTATGAAATCGAGGCATTCTTGACATTTCTCTTTTATTTTTTTCATCATTGTTTCAGAAATTTGTACCTTCTCCGGAAATTAGGACAAATCCAATGATCATAAAGAATGGATGAAGCTGCATGCATGAGGATCATAGACATCATTAGTAAAAAGAAAACAAGAAAACGACCAAAGGAGGGTACATTTAAGTAGCTGATTCATGATAATTGAACAAAAATGTTATGGCTTGTTTAACCAACAAGTTCAAAGGATCACGAAAGTTTTTTTCCTTTATAATCTTATGTTCTGTATGAAGTAAAATATAGCGGTAAAATGAAGGAATATAGTAATAATTTATAGGAGAAACTTTACATTGAAAAGTTTGAGGTTGTTGGTTGAAGTGAAAGAAAGTCCATCTCTGAAGTGAAGCAGCCAGACCAAGAGTAGGGTTGTGATTGCTATGAACAACAAATGTGCAAACAAGGTCAGAAGCGACGGCACTGGCACCCCCGCCGTTCTGTAGCTTCCACGGCTCCTATTACTTCCCTTGTCGGCCATCTCCACTTCTACACTTTTATATATATGGACGAGAGAGAATTTACAAGTTCTACATCATATATGCTGCTAAACAAGTCCTTTTTATAAAGGGTATTTTTTGTTTCTACTTAAGCAGTCAAAGTACATTATATATATTTCACAGAAAGAATGTTGAATTGCTTATTGAAACATTATTGGTCTTACGGCTCAAGGCACAATTAGTAATTGCCATATGCTAAAGTTAAAGGATTGGGTTGGTAACTACGAGAAAGATATATCCGGCAGAGGCCGGTCAGCCATATCAATTACTACATTCCTATTTTGAACAATGTTATCGACCTTTTCAAACCTCCATTAATTAACACGTACTGTTTGTGTTAGAATAAGGTCTCATTGTCAATCTCGTGTTCTTTCATGTTTCTCCCATTTCTGTTGCTCTCTTCAGTCTGATCTTTATATTCTTTTGTCGTCTCTAGCTAAAATATAAACTACACCTTATTGATTTTTCCTTTATCTACTTGTACACACTGAGTTTGATTTTGAAATATGTTTTTTCAGTTTAGGTTATAGTGTCAATATATTTTCAAGAAGCTGTTCATCCATCATACATTACTGAATGCCTATCTACTTTGCAGATTTAAAGTTTTGCTCTTCTTTCCATTTATGATTATAGATTACATATTTAGCCTTCAGGTTCAGTGGCTCATCTCTGATGAAATGATTAATGAGGCAATCATGTTCTAATGCTGGAAGAAATATAAGACATCCCACGATCTGCACTCTCCTGTTTTCAACACATAATAGTTCCCTTTTACAAGGTACTTTGCCATTACAACCTAGTGCAAAAATGCAGAGTCCACTTCCAACAACTTTTGTTATTAGCCCATCTTCAACCAAGCTTATTATCTGTAATGTATTTCCGAGTCCAAGCTTGATTGCCTGTTCGAATTCGATATCTCATCGACTTGATGTGAGACATTCAGAAGCTCAACCCACAACCACTATGTATACTTTTGTGTGAGAATGGCAGAGTCAAATGCTACCATACTACACATGAATCCATATCAGAGAGAAATTATGAGGGAAAATGTCCACAACGTATCTAGCACTAGTAACAACTTAGTAAAAAAAAATGTCCATTTCTTTGGAGGGAGGGTGCTCTCCTCTCGAGTCAAATACAATCATGTAGTCCTTCCTTAGGGACAGCAGATAAGATTGGAATGATACAAAGAAAATTAGCATGACTCCTACCGGTCGCCAGAGGCCCTTCACCGTTTAGGGTAAGAGATCATTCTTGCTATTTCCGCCACCAAGGCTAGGACGAATCGGAGGAAAGAATTCCATCCCATACTTTTGTCCAAGGTTAAACTTATTTATGTCTCAGAAAAATTATCTAATATATAACAGTCGCATATAAATTATTTGAACATTGTACATATTACAACAAGAAATCTATTAATAACTGAGTTTTAAAAAAATCCTCTATGAGCTTTCTATTCTACAATAATCATTTTGTTTGGTATTTATTTTGGAGTAAGGGAAAGTGTAGGGAACAGCTGAAGCTTTCTCGTCTACCTTTGGTCATAGTGATTTCTGGGATGCTGGATCTGATGTAGAAAGCTCATTATACATATCAGATATTGCTTTGGCGAAATAAGCCTTTGCCTGCGGTCTCTTGACCTGGAAAATTGGAACAGAACAAGAAAAGTATATTAATAAAGACATTTGTGATTGTAAGAATACACCATTATGGACCAAAAGAACAGCTTTTTATCATTCAGATTTTAAAAACATTGAGACAGGCAAGGGAAATTACCTTGAATGTGGGAGTGAGCAGACCGTTTTCGATCGTGAAAGGCTCGATAACCAATGTTACAGCTTTTGCAAATTCGAAACCTCTCAACTGTGTCAGAGTACAAGGAGAGCATCAACTTTCAGTCCAATTGAAAGTTACACTTCTCATCTTAAGAAACTAAAACTAAGGAATTAACAGAAAGCCAAAGTCAAACACATTACCTGAGCTTCCCTTCCAACAGCATCCATCTCAGCAAGAACTGCAGCCTTCGCTCTTGGATCATTACACAGTTGTCCCAAACTTTCATACTGGAGACGGCACATTAAAACCAAGGGAAATAATCAGCCAGCTTCTTCAATTAGTGAATACATTAGGTTGCATTTTAGTTATCTCCTTAAACGAATGATATAAAACTAAATGCTGAAAATGTCTTACTAGTTCATATTTAAGAATTTTTATGTCTTTAAAGTATAGTAACATCTTATTTAAAAAAATATATGAAAATAAACCTATATGATTGTCCAAAACTGTTAATAACTGATCATTTTACCATGTTGCCTTTTGAATTTTGAGTTTACAGTTTGCTGGGACATGTTACATTCCTATCTCTTTCTCCAGTTCCAGTCTCGATCAGTTCAGACCGTATGGCTAATTCTCCTTGAGCCGTCATTTCAAAGTTTTCCGAGAATGTCAAGCCAAAGTATGCAAGTCTTGTATCTACTAGGAACTTAAGTAGAAGCACTTTCAATTTTAATCGCACACCATTTGGTTTTGCAGCAATATGAAATATTTAGTGATTGGCCATTTTCAGTGACAAGTCAAATTGGTTCCATCTAAAATCCGTAATCATTATAAGTGGCACGTAATGTATTAAGTAATCTTGTAGTTCTTTCATTGAACATGTCTAATGTCTAATTTAAAGTAACAGTTAATGCAATAAGTGAGCTTGTGATTTCATTTCTAAGGTAACGTCCACGTACAGCTCTGTGAGAAGGGCAGTGGACAGAAATGGCCGAGTTGTACCTCACTCTCGTCTTTAATGGGGTCTGCTCTATTTATTTTGGGAAAGTATGCCAATATGATCTTAATGAGGTGCATGGCTGTCATATCACTTAAAACATTCAGTTTTAACTGCTGAATTTGGTAAATATCGGCCGCTCATAGTAGTTTTGTTCCCTAGCCCTGCATTGTGCAGTTGGCTATTATGGCTGCACGGCGTGAGCAGTTTTCCAACAATGGATAAAAACACCAGTTTCAAGTTTATAGGTGTGGCTTAGCTCAATATTCTCCAGTCCAGTGATTTCCTTGACAAACTTGCTTTAGATGGTTTTATGTGATAAGGTGACTAGATATTTATTGTGCTTAGCAAGCTAACTGTCAATTTCCTGGATTCACTTGAGCAAGAGAAAATCATTCAGGAATATATCAAAATAAGCCATCATCAGAATAAAAATGTTGACCAAACATTTAATTACTAGTATATTTTATGGGAAGCTCTAGAAGCAAGTTGTAATTTTCTACCTGTGTGAATATAAGCACAGCTCATGTGCTCTGTGCAGAGTTAATGATAAGACATGCAAAATATGATGATTAATGCAATGCAACATGAAATCTAAATGATGACCTCCACACAAAGTTGCTTTAAGTGAAGCATTTGACAAAATGTAAATGCATTGGCTAAATGTTGAAGATTAAAAGCTACCTTGATTCCCTCAGATGATGCCCATTCCTTAAAGACATCTGGCTCTACACAAACTACTGCTACTAAAGAGGAATTAAAGCTATCACCTGCAATGTTGCAGCAGTGAGCAAAGGAGACACCATTTAATGATTCCGTAAGAGAAAAGTTCATTATCTGCTTACCATAGACAAAACACTGTGCAACAAATTTGCATTTGGCATAAGCATTCTCAATTTTCTCAGGAGCTATGTATTCACCTTGTGCCAACTTGAAGATATTCTTCTTCCTATTCATAATGAGCATTCAAAGATCAGACTACCATTGGTGACAAGCAAGGCTCAGTATGATAGATGTTTCTTATATCACAAGAGGCATACGAATGTTGAAAACCATGTAACCTATTATAAAGATTTAATTGATGGAATGGATGGGTTGACGAAAGCTCCTTCCGGCCACCTAGTCGCCCACAAATATGGGGCCCTGGTGGAGAAGTGTTGTTTTGTATCTCAAAATGAATTTGTCCGTCCTAATCATATCAAATAGATTCTACCTGTCAATAATCTTCAAGCGGCCTCCAGGTAACCATAATCCAATATCACCAGTATGCAGCCACCCGTCTTCATCAATTACCTCCCTCCTGTTAACTACTTATGTCAGGCAAATTATCTCGGAGAAACTTGTTGCAATCACAAAAAGAATAATGAAATATCAATGTGCAAAAGTTATGTACGTCTGCACTTCATCTTTGTAATAGCCTTCAAAAATAATAGGACCTCTAACACAAATCTCTCCACGAGGATGAGGCTGATCTTCTGATGTGTAACTCATTTCCGGAACATCCACGAGCTTTATCTCTGAAAATAGCAGTCATAGAAAAGTTGAAGTCATTTAAAAAATTTCTTTAGCAACCTTTAGATTAACTCTAGGGCTGTAAAAAGTAATAGAGGAAGGGGAAAACCGTTAACCTCAAAAACCTTTTCTATGCCTCAAACAGTCCTAAAATTTAGCTCAAGGGAATAATATGGAAGGAAGAGCAAATCAAGAGATGTTTATCTGCCATCACTAATTAAAACCTTACCACATGCAGGATTTGGTGAACCAACATGACCAGTTAAGATATCACTATCGTCCATTGAGCTTATGACACACGAAGTTTCAGTCATGCCATACCCTTCCATTACTAGACAGCCAAAACATCTGCAAGAAGGAATTTGTTCAGAGCATAGCCAATTACTGATAGTCCTCAGCACCAACAAGAGTCAACAATATGATGAATAAAATCTTCCAGTACTTTAGAGTAGCAATAATGGTCAACTTACACTCTCAAGAACTCCATCACGTCAGGCGACAATGGTGAAGCACCTGAGGTCATAAGACGAACTCGCCCCCCCAGTTTGTCCTTTATTTTGTTGAATACCAATCTATCCCACATTGGTGATGGCTTTCTACCTGAAAATATGAGATTTGAATATAAAAGAGACCGAAGTTCATGAAGATGAGCCACAAAAGCAAGCAAAAGTATTTTTTGCAAATCCCAGATGGGTATTGTACAATTATCTTTTCTAGATGAGTGACCGTTGCAATCATCTAAAGCAACCTCAGGAGCATGACAAAAAGTTTGACACAACTTACCATTCATGACAGCTTGCTTCTTGGAGTTGTAGGCAGCATTGAAAAGTCTCTGCTTCAGTACGCCAGAAGTTTGTACAGCATTTGTGATCCTACAATGAGCAGATCGGCAAAATCTAAGACCCCCGCCTACAAAGATATATACTATTTAGCACATCACATAAACATTACCCAGCATATATCCTGTTGTAAAGACGAGGAACACTGCTAAATATTGTAGGTCTAAGTGTCGCCAAATCATCCATCAATTTCAGATTGTCCTGCAGAGTAGAAATGGTAATAGTAAGTAATGCTTTGTAAAACAGATGCTGTCTGTAATAAGCCCTTTTAGTTTTTTTTTTTTTTTAAACCCTTTTAATGTTAATAATTCATAAACTGAATTAGTGTAGGGCTAAACAAAGATTCCAAAAGCACCACATTTTATCTCTACAAAGTGTTTGAAAAAGTGCTACATGTGAATTGAAATAAGCCACTTTTAATAAACCCAATTTGCTAGCTGATCATGAATCCAGGACCAGAGGTCTAAGAAACAAGGTCACACCAAGAAGCTAAGACTAAATAAGTACATAATATCCAATTAACTGGCATACCCCCTGGTAGAAGCCAACAGCAACACCATAATATACCGATGTAATTTGGTTGGCACGTTCATAGATATGCGCGAGAGGCAGATAGGATATGTATCTGTAAGAATATTCACATAAGCACTAAATCAGGAACAAATCAAATACACATAACATAGCACAAAATTTTAGGCCAAACTCACATGTCAGAAGGATAAAACTTGATGGAAAGGGTCATGCCCGCAACACTTGCTATCAGGTTCGCATGGGATAGTACGACACCCTTTCAAGAGGGGCAAAGAAAAAGGAAAATAAGAAACTGAGGGCCAGATAAAATCTTGTTAACAAGAGAAATAACCCCTAGAGATACTGGTCTATTTAGCAGTTGAAGTTGAAGAAGTATAAGTGATACCTTTGGTGTACCCGTAGTACCACTTGTATAGCATATGGTAGCAATATCTTCAGGCTTGGGAGGGCAAAAGGGTTGCATACTGCTGCGGCCCTATTGGAAAACATGTAGATCAGTCATTGTACAGTTTCTACAGCAGTATAGTTAAGTTGTAGGAAAGAGAGCTAATGATGTGCAAGAATGTCCATAATATAACATGACATTAGAGAGAAAATACAACTTATTAGACAGGTTAGATAAACTCTGATTACAACTTTGTTACAACTTAGAAGTAATCCCCAGGTCACAAAGTTTTACTTTAACAGATTCAAAACATTATAGACCTGTCTCTACCTTCCCCCGTCTCTTTCCCTGCCCCCCCCCCCCCC